ACCTCTATGGTAAAAGTATGGACGACTGTCACCACAAAACTGAAAAAAAAGCTGTTCCAATCGAGCAAAGCGGTGCATTTTGACGGTTCGATTGGAACAACTTTTGACAGACGTCCATACTTTTACCATAGAGGTTTTTTTTTTTTAATTCTTTATTTAAGAGATTTTTAGCCTTAGGCTAGTTCATCTCTAACAGTTTTACCATAGAGGTAACTCTAAGACCACTGGGTCCCGAAGAAAAACATTATTATTTTTGGCTCACTTAGTACCAGAACAACGGTCCCAAGCAGTCCCAAGCTATTTCACTCACCCCTGCATGTTCTGCATGAATCCACACACCCCTGATGTTATCTGTCAAACTTTCATAGCGAATCAAAACAAACATAGTGTAGTAATAGAATTTCAACTAGAATAGGGTACGATAATCGTTTGCTTGGGACCAATAGGCTACTAAAGTGGTGAGCCAATTTAAAATCGTTAGTTTCGTATTGATTGTTGGTAACTCTAAGACTAGAAGGTCCCGAAAAAACGTGCTCAACTTTTTGGCTCAGCTCTGGTACTATCTTCGGTCCCAAGCTAATCGATTCACCCCTCGAAACATAGGAAAATCCAATAACCCCTCATTTTATCTGTCAAAAATTTCATAACGGATCAAAACAAACATTGTGTAGTACACAGCAAAAAAAAATGTAATATCGATCAACGTAATTCAAGCTGATGTATGAAATAATGATGTAATAGCAAAAAGCAGATACAATATTACATCAATGGATGTAATTTTGTTCGCAAAATCGATGTACATCATACAATGTGATATTACACAACCGATGGATCGACCTGGTTGCAGCAGTTTCGATGTAATATTCAACAACTTTTTTTGCTGTGTACTAGAATTTTGACTAGAATGGGGTACGTTAATCGATTTGCTTGGGACCAATCCAGTATTTTACGTTCGCATATGGCCGCCACAATCTCGCTGATTTTCTGGCAGGGAACATAAGATTTCAGGCGTACCATTTGATAACGGCACAAAAGCATTAGTAAACAAACTTTCTAAGACCCTTTACACGCAAACCAAAGTACGCCCACGCAAACCAATACCACTTTCGGAAAGGCGAGAGTTGCCCCTATCCGATGATAATGTTGGTTTGCGTAAACGTACTTTGGTTCGCGTGTGAAGGGCCTTAAAAAGTTTGATTACAAAAGCATTTGTGCCGTTATCAAATGTTATGCCTGATTTGAAGTTTGGGTTGTGTCGTTTGACGTATAAACGATCAAATTTGAACGTTTACATGTCAAACGACACAACCCAAATGTCAAATCATATGTTCCCTACCAAAAACTCAGCCAGATTGTGGCGGCCATACACACCAAATTTCATAAATCTAGTTCGGTACTTTTTTTGCTGGATTGGTTCTGTAAAATACAATTTTAACCGAAAGCTTTGTAAAAAATATTGTTTTACCAATTTTCCGCAATCAAAATTGCTGAATTTCCGTAATTTACTGAAATTTACAATAAACTGTAATTAAAAATTACTGATTAAAACTGTAAATGGCTGAAATTCCGCAATACTGTAAAAATTGTGACGAATGAACTGTAAACCCAATATTTTACAAAAACAAACAGTAACTGCTGTACGAGATTTTTGTAAAAATTACTGAACATTTGTAAACTTCATAATATCAAACCCAACTTTTGCTGCCATTTTTAAGATGAGTTTTCCTCTGTGCTCCGTTGTTAAACGTAAGTACTTTATTTTTTACTACAATCCATTTGCTGAAAATATAATTCTTTCTCATTACTGGGCTTTCAAGTGCCATGGACTTTAGGCTCGACATTAAGCAACCTAATGTCCTCCTCAACAGGCAACAAGCGAGTTTGTGTGTGGTATACTGAGAGAGAATATTATTTTTGAGCGGACTCACGATGAAAATACAAAAACAAAAATAAATGTTTATGAGCCAAATGAATCTTTTCGTTTATTTAAAGAAAGAAATAATGCAGTGAGATATAAACCACACTTTTGCAATGTCTACGAGCCACATCCTTTCACCACGCATTTCCTCGACAATTTGCAAGTTAAAATTCGGAAATTTCAAAATATATTTTTTTCGAAAAGTGCTTTCGACTAAGGCTGTGAACCGTTTGCCGAGTTAAATTTAACTCGTGGTTAAAAGTGACATTTCGAAAGTTATTTTCTATGTTCGAAAATCCCTGTGCTGTCGATCGACCGGTTTTCGAGAAGAACTTAGCCAAGGTTGTCAAAATTTAACTTCTTGTATGTCAGAAGTAACCACGCTCGGTTAATCGATAACTTTCCATCTGTCAAATTTTAACCAAAAGTTAAAATAATCCACCAAATGGTTCAGAGCCTAAGTGCTTGTAAACAGTACCACTGAACTGTCAAAAAGGTTCAGCCGATTAACACTGAATTCATTTGTGACGTCACGCTGCAGTACCTTGCTATATTCATAGTCTGGCGGATAGAATCTCGGGAACCAATTGAGCTGTCAAATGACGGAATCAATCGAGCAAATCACGACCAACAACAGAAAAGAGCACATCAGCTATTGCGAACAAATTTTCGGAAACCCTTTTCTCGGGACTCAAGGCTCATTACGCAAACTAACACCAAACTTAGGTTGAGGAAAGTTTCCCCTATCCGATGATGCCGGTAATTTGCGTTCGATTGGCGAGGAAACAATAATCAACGTTTTGTTTATAAAAGTTGATAGTACCTTTTCAATTGTTGGTCTAAAATATATTGAGTTGGTTCCGCTTTTTGATAGATTGAAATTCTATGCGCCAGACTATGAATATAGCGACTATACGTCGAACCATCCCCTTGGCATGCAACACTGTTGTAACAACAGAAACACATTCGACAGCTCAAACTTGTTCACCTCGAGGAAATCGAAAAACTTTTTTTTTCTTCAAAATCCCCGCTATTCTTCATGTAACCGTCCTCCGCTTGCAGACGATTGAACAGTTCCACCTCCACTTCGCAGTTGTATTGTTCCACAGTCAACGCCACGGATGAAGAACCACATCCAGCTTTCCGGAAACCATCCGACGGAGTAAAGCTAATGTACCGGCATGCACCAGTCTTCTTGGAACCGATTTGGTTTGGTTTGCTTATTTTGGGGAAATTTCCATACAGCATTAGTTATGTTAGGCTGCATACATAAATTTATTTTTATCACGCTTCGTTTTCTTGCACAATCACAAATAAAAAATCACAAAAGTCATTAAATCTTCAGGGTTGCCAAACTCAGGGATACTTGTTTGACACGCTTTGGCAGAGCGACTGGCATAGCTTTCGGCACAGCGAAAACTATCGGCACAGATTGAGGTGTGCAGAGTTGATTTCCCCTAAGGTGTAAAGGAATTCTAGGCTTTAATCGAAGACTACACATCAAGAAGACTGGCAACTCTGCCAAAAATCAGGAGACAGTAACGGCAACGCCTTTTCTGAGCAAAAGTGGAACCTGTGTATGATGGTGTGTTAATTCACGAGTGCATTCACACACATAGGTAGAAATAAATAGCTGTCAACTATTGGTTTTGTTATGATTGTCGTAAAAAGTGAAACGTCTCTATCTTTGCTTTATGCTGACAACGGATAAAATGCCAGCTGAAATAGAACAGCTGCGTGAGTATAATTGTTTTGAAAATTAAAACTATGGCAATGATGCCATTCACAATGATGGTGGGACCTTCCTCGATCATTAATTTGCTATCTCAGAATTATCTTCCACTTTTCCTAAGCCCTTTAGTAATCCATTTATGGCCATTCGTATGGTAAAATGCATGCCCGTTCCACACGGCGGGGGAGTTAAGTTGTGACGCTCGGCAACTTGGCACAGTACTCGCTGACAATTTGAATGTCACTGGCCAATCCGACATTGTTGTTATCATTCTCTGGAAGGGGTCGGTCGATTCCAAACATTGTTAAAGCATACAGAGGATCACGGTGGTTTCATGTTCTGACAGCATCTAAAATGGAAATATATTCTTTGTAGTCCTTCAACCTTTCATTTTCATTTTCTCCAACATTAAATCCTACTACGTCTTCCGTTGGATCGTGATGTAGGTATCGGATTATTCTTCTTTATGACCTTGCATTTCCAGCAGCTTCCGAATGACGGTAGTGCACTCAATGGTGGTGGAAGCTGTCAATTCCTTATTATTGATTGCTTCCAACAGGCAAAATAAATAATATTTCGGTTCACAAGTAAAAATTACTTTCATTAGGTATCGAACCGAGTTTCAATCCTCTACTTGATCCACCATGACAAGTTTTTCGGTTTGGAGTTGGAAAAACACCGGCTTCTTCTTCTTCTTCATTCCTTTATTTAACGTCGGATTCTGTTCCGCAATCTAGTGCCAATCACCGACGGACATCGATTGCCATCCATTGACGGCAATCGAATGTGCAGGAAGGCAGCTTCCACACCTGCGTAGGATATCGCACCCATTCAATGGGCCGGGACCAACGGCTTTACTTCCCTTCCGAAGGAAGACGTGACCAGAGATTTTTATGCCTCAGAAAAATCCCAAAATGGGTGTTAGAGAGCAGTCACGCTTACCACTACACCACCGGTGCCGGCAAACACCGGCTTGCTGGGATTAGGATACAAATTGTCGTGAAATTTTGCAGAGCAAAACAAAAACAACAACGAGTACCGTGTTATCATTATTCGTTTCGGTGGCATTAGGTCACACACACAGTCACTGTTAATGAGCAGTCTCACTAACACTTATGCTTCAAAGTTCCATCTTTGTTTGATAGAGGCGCTGTTTTCAGTGATGTTTGCCATTTGTATGGGAGAAGGGAAAAGTTGCCAGTCTTCCTGATTTGTAGTCTTCGCTTTAACTTAAGGGACCACAATAAAGCCCAATATGGTTAGATTTTTCTGTCCTAGAAAAAAAAATGTTAAAGTGTGTCACACAATGTTGTTATAAACGCAAAGGCACAATGCAAACAGCGATCAGTGTTTGGTTTCTAATAAAACTTTATTTCAATATTCCACAGTAAATTGCAATTCGCTTATTATGAAGGATCATCATCAACAGGTTTTGTTGTAGTATTTTGTGTTTTAATTTACAATAATTTCACAAATATTGTTGATTTAGGCAAATGTAATACATAAATCCGGTATGACATAGAGCCACACAATCTCAATCACAGACTGTGGCAACTTTTTTTTTTTTTGTTTTCTTCTTTACGAATAATTTACAATCATATGAACATAAATTAACATATTATCGCATAGTAAAAATCCTTGTTTGAGAACTAACATACATTCCTGCAAAACACTACTTCGGTTTAGGTTTTTCTCCATTTGATGCACTTTCCTCGTAGGTAACGTGTTTCTTATCCTAAACGGGTTCGTTCGTTGAAGCGTAGCGGCAAATGTAGGCATTTTAGTTTGTTTTCTGCGGGTACAAGCGAATTTTTAAATCATAGACAAATCTCCTGACGGAACTAATATCACATTCGAACATGACTATGGATTTTTACGGAATTGCGTCCCGAAAGCTACTACATTCAGAGATTGGGGGAAAAAAGTTTCAATTATGACAAACTACTCTTTAGTATGAATTGCTTGCTTTTCAAAATATAGTTGCACATCAATCGCATAATCGGGGCTTCGAGGGCTCTAATTTCCTAACTTGTCTTTTACTTTTACATTGACATCCTCTGTATCACGTGACGTTGTCACCAACAATCCAACGCACCAATAATTCTAGTTTAAATTTGTTCCATACTGACCGTCCCGTACCACGTGCTCCGGACTAACATTTTACTGTTCCGCTTTCATTCCCTAGGTTCCGCAATCAAATGGTGAAAAGTTGTTTTTTTTTTGGTTTTAATTGTTTGTTATTGTGTAAGTGCGTGCTTGCATCTTCTATTCGAAATTTAACATAAATAAATCATTTAGCTGGAGGATGACCTCAGCTTTCAGTTAACGATATCCTCCAAATTTTGAATATCGATAACCGAAATGTGATTACCGCCGAATTCGGCAAACTTGGCGTGCTGGTGCAGATCGGCCGATCGTTTGAAAACTGCGGATGGGAGAATAAGAAGAACCGAATTAGTTGACGTTTAAAAGGGTAAAATTTACACAACTCACCTCCAGAAACTAGTTTCTCCAACCGGTAGATCTTCATATCCGCGCACTCGCTGGTGATTCTCGGCGACACGTCGTTCAAATCCTTCAGTTCCGGCGTGATGACACGCATGTTCTTGCGAACCGTGCTGGTGTTGATGTTGTAGTATCCGTTCCACATCTTCTCGATCAAATCCCGCAGCGACTTGGGTGGCAGCACGGTTTCCCGATCCAGTGGCATCAAGAAGCACCGACCGTTGTCCTTGTCGATGATGCCGGACTGGTTGTACTTGAAATCGTGCAGGAAGCGACCCTGGCGCTGACCATGGAAAACTGGAACGTTGATCTTCGAGTAGTTTTCGTCGTCGGACAGGCCCAGTTCGAATTCCTCCTTGAAGAATTGATCGGTCACGTCCATATCGGTGTCATCCAAGCGTTGTTTTATTTCCTGGAACTCCCTCTGCATCGGCTGGACCAAGTCTTCAATTTGATCGAGTTGCGAATTGACATCATCGTGGCGAAGCATCGCGTTCATGTAGAACATATTGTTGTCGTTGACGTTGGTGGAATCGTACGGGATCTGACAGAAACCGTGGAATCGCAGGTGGTTGCTAGAGTGGGCATACTGCCGATAGTAGAACACACCGGCAATGATTCCCAGCGACGTCACCAGCAGGGCAATCAGAAACAAGATGTAGGTGGTAGCCGTAGAGAAACGACGGGCACGGCGGATCAGAATAATGCTGGACGCAGCCGATTCGTCATCGCGGGAGACCTGTCGGCAAAAATGGAAACGGTAAAATGACACTTAATTAGTGAGAGGTGACTGGGGCGCTGACTCTAAATAGGAAGTTTCGGTGGTTTCGGTTCACCGGTTACAAATATGACCTTGAAATTTTATGGTTTTTTCATGGTTCAACGCGTAAGAATGTTGTTTTTGGCAGAAACTGAACATATAGTGTATCAATGTCGATCAACATTGAAAGTAGGGGATCCAGAGGCAAGCGTGTCACCCTACCGGTTGTGCGCTCTACATATAGTTATACATCAAGTGTATTGCCGTTGATTAGGTCCCACCGGAGCCCCGTGAAGTTTTTGCCAGATTTGGCGAGTTGCCACTACAGTAAGAATGCTATGTCGCGATAATGGAGTAGACGTCAATGTATTGAGGTATCATCATAGCTAAACTTAAGAAGAGTGGAAAGGTGCTAAGTATGCTATTTCAATGGCCAGATACCAGTTCACCAGCAGCTTGTGCAGAAGTTGATGGCACGTATCAAGCCCAAACTACGAATTTCCATTCGAGAGGAATAAAAATCACGAAACGATTTTTTTTTGTGGTGATCACAGTGGCAGCTTAAACTCTACACTTGACCCCTTTTATTGATAAATTTTGCTTCTATGAGCCTCTATTTTAAATCAACACACAGACGTTCCTAGGCTATGGTGCCCGTTTGGTCACTGTTGTTTTTGTGTTGATCCAAATAGTTTTGATAATACAATTGCGCATTCTTTTTTTTTTAAGGTTGATTTTTGTCCCAGTCTTGTCTTCTGTCGTCACTTATTTTGTCATTTTGTCTTGTGTATTGTGTCAACTTGTGTTTATTGTCCTTCCCCATCTGTTTAAACTCGTTCTGTTACTCTGTCATGACTAATTTCATTGATATATAAAAATAGTAATATCAATTATACGATAATATGGTTATTTCTCGATTACTTTTTCAAAGGGACGCATCAGCTCCTGCAAACAATGCAAACGGCGCAACTGGTAGCTCGCACACGCCTACCAACACCACCAGCAGGTAGAGGAAAATATCCCCTATCTGATGATAGTGCCAGCACGCGCGGGTGAGCCACCAGCCACACCAAATCGACGATCAAACGCACCGCCCACAAAAGCCGACACGTCCCTCTGAAAAAGTTATCGAGATTTCTACTAATAATGAATTATTGACAACTACCTCTCATGATCCTTGGCTCCACTATGATTTTAACTTGCCACTTTTTGATTATTTATCAAATACCTCTCCGAGTATATAACACCCCGATGCCTTGTTGGTTTCTGGTCTTATTTGGATTGGTCCTGAATTTGTTTGATATCCTGTTCGAAGTAATTCTATTCCTTCTCGTTAGTCAATTGAAATCCCGTTATTTCTTTGAGTTCCAGCTTGTACGTGTCTCACGACATTTGATTCGCCATTCATAAAGATAATGGGTTAAAACATACATAAATGTAGATTGGTATTAGTATTAGAAGCATAGATAACTTAGTAGAAAAATAAAACTAATAGGTATATAACTAAAAGTGCAATGGATAAGTGTTAGTTCCGGGATCATTTTAGTGTTATTAGTTATGTTAGTTTTGATCCGTATTCAGCCCTGCCGGCCCCTCCAGCACTATTTGCAGCAATTGTGATAAGATTATGCGACACTGCTACTACTACTATGTTAGATGTATGACTTGTCAATTTTCGCAACGCAATGTCTTTCAATAAATCACTCAATCAATTTGATGTTTGAAAATTTGCTCAAAAGGGTTTTGTTGAAACATCATACCTTACCGAAAACTAAAGCACAACAATCCTAATTCTTATTTCAAACCTATCAACATATTTAACACATCTTTCATAAAACTTCACTTGTTCGTAAGCGCCTGGTTGAAGATATGACTTTCGCTATTGACATTGTATGTAATTAACAAATACACTAAATAGGAAGATTTATTATACAACTTAAAAGGCTAGTCGCCTCCCTAAGCGGACCCCCCGCGCCCTATCTCTTATGTTAATTAACTTTATGAATTCTCTAATTGAAGTTTATTTAATAAATAACTGAAATCTCTAATCTACCTACACAATCATAACCCATGCTTTTAAACTAAAATTTAACGTGTTTCAAGTAAAGAGATGAACTAGCCTATGGCTAAAAATCTCTCTAATAAAGGAAATAAAAAAAAAAAAGTGTTTCAAGTACTTCTGGCTTTGACATATATTAATTATATCCTTGTTCGTCCCAGGTGACACCTTCAAGTGACTAAAATGCTTCACTTTGAAGTTAGTTTCCAAGCTAATTTTAAATTGTATATTGTATAGGGTAAATGTTCCAACTACGCTCTCACGTTTCCATTATGTCGCACCACAAAAATACATATGGGTATGTCACAATAGCAGCACACCATAGTGGAAATCCCGAGTCATAGTTCAAACATGAAGCACATATAAGATTAGTTACAATACCATGTACAAAAATGGTGTTTAGCATTGTTCCCTAAGTAATACCAACCGGTGAACACTCGTGTTTATTTCAGTTACCGTGGAGACGTAATTTGTGATTAGTCTCGGTCCCTTTCAAACTGTATCATTATTTATGATTGGTTCTTATATTTGAAATGACGTTTCACCACAGACAAACAGACATAACACTCGTAAGTTGTTCATCGAACAAGCATTTAACGAACAATTTAAAAGTATCGTAGTTGGTAGTACCGCCACCTGTGGCGCGCATAGTCAATTCCCTTGCGTATGACGTTTACACACTACCGCCATCTGTTCAACGTAGTGCCCACCACTGTGTACTCAATAGATAGTGGTAATGTTTTAGTGACGATGTTTTACAGTGAGAAATATTCAATGTGTTATGTCTGTTTGTCTGTGGTTTCACATTCATCTAGTGATGGCGAGAGTGATGGTCGATTTTCATTCGAATAATCGATTAATCGATTATCGAACCGAAAAGTAAAATATTTGTAATCGGTTATATTATGCCGATATAAGCATTAACATCTCCAGAGGATCATCACCGATCGTTTCAAACATGTGATGCACTCTCTTTGGTGGAAAAATGACAGCACAACTAACAAAAAATAATCGATTAGTTGTTAATCGAGTAATTAAAATATGGGACATTTCTGATTTTTGTGTGATTGTTTTGATCAAAATGAGCGCAAAATTTCATCTCTACGAGGGGGCAGCAAAACCACAAAATTACCTTGAATACGGGGGGTATTCATTGGATAAAAGGGACCGTGAAAGAGTGTCCTAGTTATTCTTCCGACAGTTTCATCTTAGTATTCATCTTTGGTAATACCTCAATGAAAACAACAATGAAAACTTGTCACGCAAGTAGAAGGAGCACTGTTGGGCACTTTCTGAAATATTTCAATAGTATAATTCCCTTGCAAACCCAAATAAATCTATCTGCGTAAAAATAAATAAATTAAGAGTGATTTGCGGCAAAACCCGCCAGTATCGCACCCAACGTCAGTGCCTATACGTAAGCGTACTACGACGCGGCTCTCAATCAAAGGAGTAACAAGTGTGATACTATCACTGCTAGACTAGATCTTTGGTTCTCTCATGCAGTGGTTTATCAGAGCGGGGAAGCTTAGTAATCCCCATTGCCTGCCCATGGCGCCATTTTATCGCGGCATGAGCCAACAACGCCGGCCATAAACTTACCGTCTCCAACACTCCACTAAAAAGCATGAAATTAAGCCCGCCCACCAGCAACAAGGTGCAAAAACTAGCCAAGGGGAGGGGAATAAAAATCACGAAACCCATATTGTATCTTTAAACTTTAACAAATACATCAATGCTTGGGAATGTGGATGATAGATGGTGCTAGTGCGCATGCAAAATAAGCTTGACGATATTTTTTGAAGAATTTTCTTCTAAGAGTTATGTCTGTTTGTCTGTGTTATAGCTGTTGTACTGAGCCTTATGCCCCGTACAGACTATGACCTATATCATGTCAAGAGCAAATTTTCATTACGTCGAATGTAAAAGATAAACAAAGTCGAGCTATCAGTGTCAATCGATGCTCCTGCTATTACACTATATACTGTCCGAATATAGGATCATATCCCATTTTTAAATTTATTTACCAGTCGAATTGCTTTTTGACGTAATCACCTTCCGATCAAAATAGTTTTCGATGTTACTTAAGTCATCCGATTTCTATGGAGATGCCGTTTGCCTTAAGTAACAGCACTGAGAAACCCGTGAAAAGTGTACTTTCGTCGTTTCGCTTTCTCATTATTAAAGTGAATAAATCGAACTGTTTGTTGCTAAGATGATTTCGGTGGTCCTAAAATGATGAATGGGCTGCACGTAAGGAGACGTAATTGATAATTCTCCCGAATATCCTGGTAAATACACTTTGACTTAAGTAACAATAGGAGCCAACAAAAGACGTATAATAACTTTTGACTCAAAAACCAGTATTTCTTAGCATGAAAGCTAGCGATTTGCCTTTGTATGATTAAAACCCGGCTGAATATGTTAAACATTGCTATCACTATGAGATTATATGTGTTTAATTGGAAATAGGAATAACTTTTCGGTCATCAAAACAAAACTTTATTTTTCTCGGATCGGTGCGAATGTTACTTACGACATAATGAAAATTTGCTCTTGATGTAATATAGGCTGTCTTGCAAAGAGCACTGACTAGTTTTCACTGGCCATAGTCTGTACGGGGTATTATGCGGTTTCACATCTGCACTTAGACACGCATGGATGAACCTTTTAGACAAGCGTATATTACTGGTAGAATCAATGTAGTGTATGTGATATGGTTGTTATAATATACAGAATAATTTACTTTAATTTGTGTGAAGTCGACAAAGTGCATTTGACAACACTGGAAGGATTTATACGCGCCAAGAGCAGTTGAGCATGAGCTTAGGAAAGCTCCGAATTGGCGTTGACGGCACCGTCGAAAACTTTGCTCTTCCAGCAAATTTAGACAGTTTCTTATTGGAATTTTCGGTGGAGTGAAAAGGTAGTACAAAGTCCGCCATGTTTCACGCACAGTCTGACGTTTGCTTATGGATTTTCTCATAGGAGTAAAGAGCTACAGAGTCGCCGTCAACGCCAATACACGACTGTGATTCATGTAATGAAAAACGAAGATCGGCTTCGAGACGACCAAAGCATCAGGTGAGAGAGATAGATGCTTTGGGATAGAAGAGTGCAAAATGATGGATGAATGGTTCATCGCGTTCGTTCAGGTTGGCTAGTCGCTCGTCTGAGGATTCTGGTGACTAAGGCTGTGAACCATTTGCCGAGTTAAATTTAACTCGTGGTTAAAAGTGACATTTCGAAAGTTATTTTCTATGTTCGAAAATCCCCGTGCTGTCGATCGACCGGTTTTCGAGCCATGGTCGTCAAAATTTAACTTCTTGTCTGTCAGAAATAACCATGCTCGGATAGCAGGGTTAATCGATAACTTTTCATCTGTCAAATTTTAACCAAAAGTTAAAATAATCCACCAAATGGTTCAGAGCCTAATTAAAGCGGACGGACGTTGCAGATCAACGCAGGCTGGCGTCGTTCCAGTGGCAGTGCAACCTCGATTTGAGTTCACGACACAGTCGTGTTCAGCATGCCGTCAAAACAGGAAGAACTGTGCGCGCGCATTGTACAATGTGGTACAATTCTTTCAAGCGACCGAAGATCGTGGAAATAAGTGAACGGTGGATTATCCATGGCTGTAGCTCGGAAGAGAGATAGCGTTCGTCCATCGAAGATAATGAATAAGAAGACGCTCCGTCCGCTGCACAACATGTTCAACAATATATTTCGAAAAGTCTGTTGTTCGAAATCACACATCTTCAAGACTCTAAGGAAGGAGGGAATAGTGTAGAAAGAAACCCATGTCCCCAGAGTACACTGACGAGCAAATCCAAACCGTGAGATCACAATGCCGCTGGATGACCCGGAAGTAGGGCGGAAAGCCAACATCTACCATATGTGCCAAAAAAAACCGGAATCCGACAAATTTACCACAGTGCCGTCCTATCGAAGATTTTTTCGGTCTATTGAGCTCCATGGGATAATTGGAAGGCCAGGACATCAGGCAACACACCGAAAGGATCAAAAGCTGTAGCCGGAAAATTGATGTGGCAGCCATCCAACGGTCATGCTCCAAAGTCATTATTAAGCTGTGCCGCACGGCGGACCACGGACCGTATGCCAAACTAAGCTCAGTTTGAAGACTTAAGTTAACCCGTATTCGTGGAAGACGAAGCCGTTAACGTGAGAATCCATGATCTCCCTCCGAAAACACCTAGCACGGTTATTATAGAAAGTATGCGACCATACGGTACTATCAACAATCAATATGAAACAATTGATTTTAAATTGGCTCACTACTTGACTAAAGGGTATCCACGATGAAATTGCCACACTATGAAATTGCTCTAACTTTTTAACCGTTGGGTAGAATTTAATGAAAATTTGGGTGGATTTAGTTAATAGTGCATTATTTACATCCTGCAAGTTTTAAAGTCCTGTGATCAAAACTCGCGGAGTCGAAAGAACAGCTCGTGCGTGATAAAATCTTGCGCATTCATCACGAGAACAAGGATCTCTCGCATCGTTCCATCACTAAAACGTTGGGAATCGCGAATTCCACGGTGTCGCGAGTGATTAAGCGGTTCGAGGACCGGTTGACCACCGATCGGAAGCCCAGAAGTGAAGGAAAAAGTATTCCGTACAACACCAAAAATCACAACCGCGTAGTTGGGGCCTTCAACCGAAATCCGAACGCCTCCGTTAGGGATGTGGCTAAGAAGCTGCACCTAAGCCGAAGTTTTGTTCAGAAGGCCAAAACTAAGGCTGGGCTTCGAACGTTCAAGGTACAAAAGGCCCCTAATCGCGACGAGAAGCAGAACAAGTCCGCCAAAACCCGTGCCAGGAAGTTGTACCTCCTGACGAAAGTTGAATGCTGCATCATGGACGACGAAACATATGTGAAGGCCGACTTCAAACAGATCCCCGGCAACCTGTTTTTCACGGCCAAGGATAAGTTCAGCGTTCCGGACCATGTCCGCACTCAGAAGATGTCCAAATTTGCGAAGAAATTCCTGGTTTGGCAAGCCATCTGCACGTGCGGGAAGCGGAGTGCACCTTTCGTGACCCAGGACACGATGAACGGACAGGTGTACATAAAAGAGTGCCTCCAGAAGCAGCTGCTTCCTCTCCAGAAGGCCCACAACGTCCCAACAATCTTCTGGCCGGATTTGGCCTCATGCCACTACTCCAAGGACGTGCTGAAGTGGTATGCGGACAATAAGGTCAATTTCGTGCCGAAAATGTTCAACCCTCCCAACACTCCGGAGCTCCGCCCCATCGAGAAGTACTGGGCGATTATGAAGCAGCACCTTCTTAAACGACCTAAGGTAGTGAAGACAGTCGAGGAACTGAAGAAAGTATGGGTTTACATGCAAAAAACGGTTGATTCACAGGTTGTACAGAATCTTATGGCCGGGGTTAAGGCCAAGGTGCGGGCATTTGCGTATGGACTGTAAATAAAATACGAGTAAAATGGTAAAATGAAGTTTAATAGTTATTTCTCAATCCCTGAAAATTTGATGGCAATCGGATGAAAACTCGAATTTTGCGAATCAATTTTGTGTGTGGCAATTTCATCGTGGACACCCTTTAAACCTTACGAAACAGATTTCACCTGAATTGAATGCAGACAATCAACATTCAAGGCTGACATCAACATAAAGAGAAATTGCATTCGTAAAAAATCCAAGTGTTTTAGCGTCTCTGAGAAGAGTCAATTTATTTTTCATAACAACTTTAATAGAGTAATATCAACAATCAATACGAAACTACCGATTTTAAATTGGCTCACTACTTGACTAGTCGAAATTCTAGTACTACGCAATGTTTGTTTTGATTCGCTATGAAAGTTTGGCAGATAAAATGAGGGGTTATTGGTTTTTCCTATGTTTCGATGGGTGAATCGATTAGCTTGGGACCGAAGAGAGTACCAGAGCTGAGCCAAAAAGTTGAGCGCCTTTTTTCGGGACCTTCTAGTCTTAGAGTTACCTCTATGGTAATATCATAGAGCTAACTCTAAGACTAGAAGGTCCCGAAATAACGTGCTCAACTTTTTGGCTCAGCTCTGGTACCCTCTTCGGTCCCAAGCTAATCGATTCACCCCTCGAAACATAGGAAAATCCACTAACCCCTCATTTTATCTGTCAAACTTTCATAGCGGATCAAAACAAACATTGTGTAGTAGTAGAATTTCCACTAGAATGAGGTACGTTGTGTAACCCCATTCTAGTATAAATTCCAGTAGTACGCAATGTTTGTTTTGATTCGGTATGAAAGTTTGACAGATAAAATGAGGGGTTAAAGGTTTTTCCTATGTTTTGAGGGGTGAAGTTGAGCACGTTATTGCGGGACCTTCTAGTCTTAGAGTTACCTCTATGATTCTACTATCCACAAACGAAGTGACAGACGGCTAACTGGCGAAGAAATCCATTAAAATAATGTGGTTCACTGTAATAGAATTTTCTTGGAAGCTTGTGACATCATCCACCAGATGGGTTAGTTTTTTTGTTTTGATTTGAACAAAGTTGATTTTGTGTACAATGATTCTTTGACAGTGTGCAAAGAGTGCGTATCATTTTGTCATTTTTTTATTTATATTTTATTTTCACTGAAGTCTGAATACATTAAGGTTACAGCAATACACGTTAAAATATAATGTATTGAAGATGTCTGCTGATGTTTCCTACATTACAATTTCTATTCGGGTTTCAGTTTTGAGTAGAGTGAAAGAGATAGAACCAAAACATTCTAATACATTTGGTGAAAATGCTAGTACAATCCAGTAGTAGTGTTGCCATGTGGTACAATCCAGTAGTAGCGGTGTTGCCATGTGGTACACTGAAAAATTGAAATAGCAGGTTAGTCACCAAAGTTTTCGAGCCGCTCCGTCTGTCACTTCGTTTGTGCTACTATCTATATGCAATTTTCACACTGCCGTACCACAAACGAAGTGACAGACGGAGCGGCTCGAAATTTGATTTGACGCACTTACATTTACAATTTTCGAGTGTACCTCACGGCAACACTATCTACTCATATGTACTAGATTAAACTAGGGGGTACCGCCTGTTATCCCTTTTTCTCTAACGAAAATTGAAAGGGAGAGCCTGTTGTCAAACAGCATGTCATTATATCGCTTCTTTTGTATAATGAAAGACCATAGGCCAAAATGATTAGGGATGAACACATCGGGTTAACATTTGCTTACAAGTAAACGATGTTGAGCTGTCAATGACTCGCGCTTGTTGCAATTGTTGCTACAGATTTCTTCAGTCCGTGCTAGAAGCCTAAGTCACAGTCATTCGCGACCGAGAAGACATAGACATCGTTGTTGGACGCCAAACAGAACCCGGCCATACTCGGTATGCTGGTATACATTCACTCCTCCGTAGCGGAACTGGAACGATCCACCCAAGCTGCCGGATATCAGTTTTGTCTGCTCCAGCTTCTTCTTATTATTCTGCAGAACCAGACAGTGCGAGTACTGGTCGTGTTTGCCAAACCAACCGGTGGAATACTAATCTGAAAGCCGATTTCTTAGGCACGTTGCATTTGTCGCAGTAGATCGTCACTTGCCGCTGCACTTTCATGGAGCGGATTACAATCGTCGTGGCAGTAGTTTCGTCGTACAGATCGATCACTGGATCGATATCAACCCGATAGGTATGGCCGGCATGCTTCGCGTAGTGACGCTCGCTCATGTCACGGGGAATCCTTTCCGAACAGGCGGCGCATTGAAACTTCTGTACGAATCGATCGGGACATAGGATTTGATGTCACGTTTTGTCTCTTGTTTTTGAATTGCGGACTGTTCGAAAAAAGTTTAAAACTCTGCAGGAAATTCAAAAATATGAAGCTTTTTTTGAACTTGTACAGATAAAGTTCTGTTAATCTCATTTCTTTTTTTTTTTCCTTTGATTTGTTTTTCGTCGATCTGGTTTTCCGTACTGAGCACCAATGCTACCGATGCCAGCACTGATAAAAATCCCCTTATACCTTTTGGCAAATTTCCATTGCTGATTATTCATAAAATGTATAAGGCTACCACCAACCAAAACATTGATAATTGTATCGTTAAAAACGAAATTTATTATTTCTCCTTTCCAATATTAATAACAAATTCATTGTAATTTCGTTATTTTATTATAATTTTTTTGCGGCCATCCTCGGTATGCATTCGTTACTCCGTAGCGGAACCGGAAGCTCTCGACGAGGGCGATCTAAAGGAGGAAAATTTACTCCAAAATCATGCCGAGATCCATCGAATCAAAAAGGCGATCGACGTGCTGGAGGTGAGAATGAAGGAGGATCGGATGAAACCGATTTTTTTTAAATTTATTACGGCTAGAGATGCTGTATGTCAAGCGTTTGAGCATGATTGCGGTACGATGCACTATTCTGGACTGGTCTACTATACGTGGCAAAACTAGTCATTATACCTGCTACGTGTACCTTGTTACCTGAAGACGAGGAGGGAATCTTCGGATTCATGGAGGAGGACATCAGAAATGAGGAAGCTCGTATGCGAGGACAAAAGTGTTACATCTGCAAGGGTTGATGCATATATTATGTCACGCTCTAGGGGGGGGGGGGGGGGGTCTAAGATTTTGTGACAAGCAATACATTAGGTATAGGAAAAACGTCACGATAGGGGTTTCTCTTCGATTTAGCGTGACATAATTAATGCATGGGCCCCAAGGAACGGTATGCGAACGTTTTGTGTTGCACGAAGAAGTGCTTCCGTTCATTTCAGACGCTTTGTGGGATGCAGAATGAGTGCCTGTCGCATTACGTGGATACGTTCCAGTCGTGGTGCGATAAGCACGTAGCGCTGGTGGGTAAGATGAAATAATCCGGGACCGAAGCCTGTGGGATTTGCTACGATGAGATGGGACCGTACAGGAAGCTGGAATCGATTCGTGCTGTCAGAATGTCTTGTTCCATCGGAGCTGCATGGCACAGTTTGCCCAATCGTCGGGGTACTTTTTCAAGTGCCCTTTGTGCAACAACAAGGACGACTTTAGTCAGCAGATGCAGCAGCGTGGCATTTATATTCCGGAAAGTAAGTGAAGCAGAGGTTTGTATTTGAATACTGAATATTTTATTTTATTTGTTCCAGGGATGCCTCGTGGGAGCCTGAACCGAATGCATTCAACGATCAGTTGGAACGTCCTTCGGAGTGTGACGCTGAAGCGTGTCGCTGTCGGTATGGGCGAGATTACGATTGCAAGCGTTGGGATATGATCCTGTGTGCAACGTGCGGTTGGACTTGTCGCTACGATCAGTGCATGGAGGTTCCCTCGAAGAACTATGTTTGCACCTTTTGTCTTCCGATTGTTTGAAGCTAGCCGAGGCTTCTCGAAGAGCGGAAGCAGCTTGACGTGCGGAAGCCAGTAGCAGAGAGGGGAGTTCTAGGGGCTGATCTCGTGGCAGACGTCATATTAAATCGGATGATTCAGATTCTGAAGAGTCAGTTGCATCGACGACCAAACGCAAATCTCAGAAAAGACGAACCACAAAAGACAGTGACGACAGTGATTCCAATCTGGTTTCTAAACGAAAGAAACCAACGTCGAAGCGACGGCTGTCCACGTCTTCGTCTAGTTCTTCCTCGTTCGTTTCTTCGAATGGCGAAGAAATCAGTCTTTAGGAACTGATCAAGAAGATTCCACTGCCACGAGGAACTTCCGTCGAAAAATTGCTTCGAGCCAAACCGGTCGTATCAAATCGTTGACTTCTTCGGACAATGAAGACGAAGCATCCTCCGCCGGATCGTCGACCGTGTTCGATTTCAACTATCGTGTGAATTTAACCAAAAAAGCAGTGCCGAAAATCGATGGTAGAATTGCAGTCGATCAAAGAGTTCATCCATTCCGACACGGACACACTAACGGATGCCTCGGTGGGACAGGAGATCGTGCGTCCCAAGACGCCTGCCAGAAATCTTTTGAAAAACTGTTCAAATTGTAGCTTTTCGGGTCGAAAACCGTCCCACGAAAACGGTCCACCAGCGAGTCTGATCCGGAGTACGTTACAGCGAAGAAAATTAGGTTGATTTAATTTTAATGGTGACGTTCCTTAGACGGTGAATTTTCCAGCACTAGTCAGGTCTTTCCCACGGCGCAGTGGATTACTGCCAACGGTGCCACCTCAAGTGGGAATGCGATTCGAAACCGGGTTGACGTTGATGCTCAAAAGTGAGAAAATGTTCCGGATTTCACTACCCACATTAAGCGAATGTCAGCTGATATCACGCTGCTTTCAGGTACTGAGGGAGAACCTTCCAAAACTTCTAGTGTTTGGACTGGTGGAGATTGCTAAAGTATGATCCCGATGAAAACATTTTGCGTATACGTATACGTGACGTAGTGTGCGTAAGATAAACGTCAGCAATCTCTATGACACAAAGAATGCACCTGAAACCGACGGAGAATCGCAAGTGCTGTGGTGAGGCAGAAGGAAACAAGTTAGCACTTTCATTATCACGACGTTCTTATGCATAATCTAGTGTGATGTAACGTTGGATCATGCGTAAGAACACCGTGAGAACGAAAGAGTTGTCAACATTCCTTCTGTCGCACCTACAGTAACGCACACGGTTCCCGCGCTGATTGTTCCTTACTTTCTCACTCTAATCAAAATTTCCTTCGATGAGTGAGAAAACAGCACCACGTTAACGCGAGCGAGAACGAGGGTTGCCAGATCATTGCACACAAAACCAACTTGAATTAATTCAAAGCAAAAATACTAGCGAACCTGGCGGTGAGGGGCGGAAGGTGGACTAAAATTCTATTACAGAGAACCACATTATTTTAATTAATTTCTTCGGAGAAAGTCGTCTGTCACTTCGTTTGTGGCCGTACTCTAACGGAACTATCAACTCTATGCTTTCATCTACTCCATCTATCGTATAAAAATTACCATTACAGTCTAGCATCTTCAACTATGTAAATCACAAACGAAGTGACAGACGGAGCGGCTCGAAAACTTTGGTGACGCACCTGCTAATGCAATTTTTCAGTGTACCACATGGCAACACCACTACTACTGGATTGTACCACATGGCAACACTACTAATGGATTGCACCACATGGCAACACTAAATGTACTAGAATGTTTTGGTTCTATCTCTTTCACTCTACTCTAAACTGAAATGTATAAAAAAATGACAAAATGATACACTCTTTGCACACTGTCAAAGATCATATTGCACAAAAAATCAACTATGTTCGAATCAAAACAAAAATACTAGCCCATCTAGTGGCTGATGGCACAAGCTTCTAAGAAAATTCTATTACAACGAACCACATTATTTTAATTGATTTCTTCGCCAGTTAGTCGTCTGTCACTTCGTTTGTGATGTAAATCGTTGATTTCACGCAGAAGTAATACTAAAACATATAGTCAAAGTACATAACTCTGGATGGGAGCATACCATCAATTACTGTCAATGGTCGAAAGGTACAGTAGCAGCACCTACCCCACCCGTGTCCCCTCGAGATCGTCAAGTCGACGATGACAGGAGCACATATCGTGGTAGGGGTAAACAATAGTTGCAATTTCCAAAGCTACGACTGGATGCCTTCCTTCAAATAACAACTGAAGTGCGGTAAAAAATCGGTAGAACTGATTCAAACACATCGTTGGTACTTGAGCGTTCGGTTTTCATCTCTTTTTGCCAGTGGTGGCGGGGGGGAACGCCCCTCACCATCCCTCTCCAAGGGGGGAGTTTGGTAAAGAGAGATGAAAAAACCGATTGGCACCTTCCTTAAAAGTTGTCCTAGCTCGCTATTCTACCAACAATCAATACGAAACTAACGATTTTAAATTGGCTCACCACTTTAGTAGCCTATTGGTCCCAAGCAAACGATTAACGTACCCTATTCTAGTCGAAATTCTAGTACTACGCAATGTTTGTTTTGATTCGCTATGAAAGTTTGACAGATAAAATGAGGGGTTATTGGTTTTTCCTATGTTTCGAGGGGTGATTCGACAAGCTTGGGACCGAAGATAGTACCAGAGGTGAGCCAAAAAGTTGAGCACGTTTCTTCGGGACCTACTTGTCTTAGAGTTACCTCTATGATTCTACTATCTATACGCAATTTTCACACTGCCGTCACTGTAACTGGCGAGTACCCATTAATGGGTGAAAAAGTACCCATTTTTTGGTAGTGTATGAAGCTGTCAAAAAATGCGTAAATGAAAATTTCAAATAGTGGGTATTTTTTCACCCATTTTTGAAAATTGTTCAGGGAACAATAATGGGTGAATTTTTACCCATTATTGGGTGAAAAATATCTTTGTTGCACCGTTAGTTTGCTGACATACTTGGAGTGCTTTTGTCTCGTTGAAAAATAAAATAAAAGTTGGTGCCCCATGTGATTTTCAATGGCAACAATTAATCCATCTTCGTTGACGCATCCACGGTGGAATTGACTCCATCTGCGCGCTGGACACTCTATTCAAAGTGTTAACTGTTTTTAACATTCGTCCGCCAGCAGCAGTGCAGAATATTATTGATTTTGTGTTCATGTGCTACGGAATCAAAACTACCAGCACCCGGCAGATGGTCAATCGTTTAGTTTTATCGTTTATGGAATCCATCAATGCTGACGAAAACGATTCTGATGATTATTGTATTTCTAAATTCATTGTTAACGTTCAATAAAAACCAAGTTTAGTAATCAGTAATTTTTATTTT